GCATCAGAAACGGTACTAATTCACAAATTATCCCTTCTTCTTTATTAATGATAATTTTAGACTCAGTAGCAATCATCCTATAGCTTTCTTTATTAATGAGAATATGAATTTGTCGCAAATGGTTTTACAAAATAAAATACATAGATAGTGAACTTACTAATTAACACCTTGTCTTCCACACGAAAAAGGTTCCTTGTGAGACAACACAGTAGCCCTGTGATCAGCTGATACTGCTCTACTCCAAAGCCACCATAAGGTAGCCAATCAGCAAAACAAAATTGACAGCCTCTGTACAGTTTAAACCAGAAAAGAAGGGGAAGATGTACGCTGCAGTAATTCTTGTGTTTTAGCACACTAAAACCTGCTTTTTCATTAATTTTGAAATTAGTACCGCAAAAGTTATAAGCACTCAATTTAGATTGATAATAATCTGAAAATGCAATCTGCTTCCAACCTTCTTCTCTAATTTTATTTGCATTAATACATGGACCGTTCAAGTCTAAGCCCATTCATTTCCTAGGTGTAAAGATCAACAGCCCTCTGACCAGATAAAAAAGGAAATTTCTCGAGTCTTTTGTAACAATGATGGGGAAAAATACCTATATGATTTTAACAAATACCTAATTGAGAACAACCTGAATGTAAAAAGTCCCACAACATGTAGTCATGACACCAAAGAATAAGTATTTTAAACTCTAAAAGGTCAATACCACCCAGTCTAAGTGAAGTGTACTCTTCTAAAGTCTGAAATCCTTTAACAAAAACAAAAATTAAAAAAACTTAATTACAAATAATCCAAAGTGCTTCAAATGAGATGGAGTGATTAGTTAATTACGATTTAGTAAGACCTCTCAATAAATTACATCAGATACACCTTTATCAAGGTTGTAGATAAAGGGCACTTTTTTTTTTTTTTTTTGGCTCACACAGATAGATTGATGAATTGCAATAACATAAGAAGTTTTTCTAATTTCTCCAAAATAACTAGGAAATATTTCCTAGTGTAGTTACTAAAGGGAATCATTAGTTGGTTCCCATAACTACAAAAATCTGAGAAGACTTGTCAGCTAAAAAAGCACTAAATAACTAGAAGTCACAATTACATATTCAAACTTCCTCAAAGAATCACCATCCAAAGATTTATGTCAAGTAAAACATATGTTGTCAGTCTTATATGAACTCACCTCTGGCATCCTCAAGGTTTTGCAATCTTTTCCAAGCTTTCTCCTTCTTAGTCCTTTCCTATTTTTCTACTTTTTTTACTAACTTTTCTTGGTCCTTTCTTTTCTTTGTTCTGTTTTGTCCTTTTCTATCCTAATAAGTTTTTTCTCTATTTTTTTTTCTCCTTTTCTACTTTTTATTTCATCCTGCTTCCTAACCATGTTTTGATATTTGTTTAATTCTTTTCTTTTCTTGCTTTTCACCTTGGATTCATTCTATCCTATTCCTTTAATTCCATGACCCTAAATCGAGACTTCGACAATCAAATCTATATTTCCTGTCAACTACCTCAAAAAGATCTCTCATGCAACCAGTCCTGAAAACATGATAAACAACATATGATCCAAAATTACTATACACAAACCCATAAGGT